AGGACACGAACCCGCTCTCCTGCAGCTCAGCCCATTGAGCCGGGTGCAGGGTGGGGGAGTCTGCAGAGAGGGACCCCACAGCACCAGAAAAGTCGGACCACAGACAGACATCCTGGCTTCCAGCCGACACCCAAGTCCAAGCACGCCGCCAAGAGGAAGCAGGCATAAAGACCGGTGGTAACAGCATCAGGCCATCTGCAAGGAAGTGTGCTTAGCTGGCTCTCGCAGAATACACCCCACTGACCTGCTGGAAATGAAGTCAGGCACTCTGCAGTGATGAGATGTGCTCCAGTCATCAAACACAAGGCAGAGATCGGCCAGGAGAAGAAAAAAGGGGAGCCAAACAGCCCATTTGCTATAATGAATTAGGCTGGGCTGGAGAAGACCAGAATGCTGACATTTGTCATCTGGCAAAGTCCAAGGAATCATAAAATCTCATGCCTGGGATGTGGCTTAAAAGTCACCTCTTTAAACAATTCGTCAGATCCTGAACCCCAAGATCCCAGGGAGGGGCTGCCTGGCCTCTGCAACTGTCCTCCAGCAGTGGGGGGCCACTAGCCTTCGTCCATTGGCAGAAACCTACTCCTTGCCATCAAAATGTTGGCTCGCTTTGACTCAGCAATTAGAGTTGTTGGATTCAAGCTTAAGGAAGTAAATCCCAGATATGGAAAAAGCTAGCTGCACAAATATGTGTCTTATAGTGAAATACATAATACAATAAACTTGGTTTGCTTGGAGATTATAACAAGAGAGAACGGATTTATACACCCCAGTGACAAGCAGTTCCCTGCCACCTAGAAAAGACAGTCCCTGAGCACAGAGTCTCCACCAGGGAACCTTGAATAGGGTAAGGCTCAGGGGCACCCAGCATGTTGGCCAGCAGGATGACCACAGCCACCCAGACTGGAAATATTATTGGCTTTGCAGGCCATGTGGTCTCAACTCTGCCACTACAGTGTGAAAGCAGCTACAGACGGTACATAAATGAATGAGTTCCAATAAAACTTTATTGACAAAACAGGTGGCAAGCTAGATTTCGCTTTAGGCTGTAGTTTGCTGACCCTTGAGGTCTACTTTCACATCTATTAGTTTTAAATGCCAAAAAAAAGTTTTTGGAATCTCCTACTTGTCCAACATATGAGGTATAATACAAAAATACAATGATTGTCTGAATTTTTAAAAATTTATTACTGTAAAGGACACATTGCCATTAATCCTTCTCAAGATACTCCTTGCTTTGGACATACTTCTCCGATTGTTGTTGCCACATTCTGAAGCAGCTCTGGAAGCCTCATTCATGGGTGTCTTTCTGAGATGTGATCAAAAATACTGTGAATGAGGGCCAGGGATTTAGCTCAGTGGTTCTACCACCTGCCTCACATCACAAGGTCCTGAGTTCGATCCCCAGTACCAAAAAAAAAAAAAAAAACAACTACCGTGAATGCTGCTGCCAAGCATGTCCAACAGAAAGGCAGCCTGTAAAAATAGTAGTGTGTCCTCATCCACCTGATTGGCCAGATATGGCATTGTGCAACTTCTGTCTCTTCCCCTAAGCCAAAATGGCCAGGAAAGGGATCAGGTAAACATTCTGAATGGATTCAGGACATCAAGGAGGCTATGACAGTGCAACTAAAGACACTCGGAAACGAGCCCTCCAGAGCGGCCTCAGAAAGTGCCAAGGATGGGATGATTGTTCAAAGTGAGGAGGGGATTTAGAGAGGCACTGCTGGCAATGCATCTTTTTTAAAAATTTAAACACTCGCTGTATATTTTGATCACAGCGTGTAGGAAACTAGTTTAAGAAGTTAAAGAAGTTGGATTCATTGTATCCACGGCAATCTATTCAGTGTCTGTCAGACACTGTTCTGAGGAATGGGCCTAAGCAAGGAGGCAGTCAAGAAAGCACACTGAGTGAATGGGGTATCACTAACATTTGACAAGTTTGTAATAACAAGGAAAACCCTTACAATCCACATGAAATGCAACATCCAAAAGTGTGTATACAAGTAAGACCAAACCATTTCTACACTAAACAGGAAACCTCAGGGGTAAATAACAATGAAAGAAACATATCAAAATGTCCCAAATTGTTTCCCTCGGCTGGCTGGACTACTCCTCCCCTCTGTCTTTCCCTGAAGTTCCCAATCCCGCTGTATGAATCCATGTCACTTGTACAGCACACACTCCTACAGTGGAGCTGGAGGGGAAGCTCTCCTCCCCCTCCCCCTCCTCCTAGCTCGGGGAACTCCGTAAAGCCCAGGCAGCTCTAGCCCCAGAGCAGCAGTCAGCACCAGGGACAGAGGCAAGGCCAGTGCTCTGAGGGAGCCCAAGTTGGGGCCCCGGAGGGCAGACAGCTTGCAGAGTCCCTTCCCAGGCGAGGCACAGGCAGCACTTGTCAAAGCAGGGAGGAGTGTGGTCCCCTGAGTTGATGCAAATGGAGCTACCACCCCCTCTCCGTGTGACCCGGCGGGGGAGGATTGTTGGTAAAAAAGGAAGTAAAAACAAATACCACGCAGATCCCTTTACCCACATCATTAGCTTGGGAGAGACTCGCAAACATGCCAATGCCAGTCACAGCAACATCTGCTTCTAATCGCTTCCCCAGCATTTTCGGGGCCTGTCAGCTGGCGTCTGCCCTCAGAGAAAATCCGGTATTTTTAACAAACTCTTAAATCAGAGGGTATCCATAGTGAGTAATTTCTCACGTGTTTGGTCTTAGAGGCTAAAAACAGTGAGTGCACCGTCAGGGGTCACCATCAGGAGGGGCGGGGGGACCAAGTGGCCCCGCTTCAAATGGCATGACCAAGAGTTTCTGATTTGCACAACTCGTTCAATTGTTTTCTTTCATTTTTCATGCATTCACACCCTAAATATATAACACGTTCTGGTGTTTTTTTTTAAAAAAAATTCCACTGTGTCCACTTCTTTCTGGGTAATTTTCCTCTCTTCTCCAAATGCGTTTGTCAAGAAGGACTGTGGGTGTGCTTTAAATGAGAAAATGGATCAGTGCTGTTGCTTGTGAAGCGCTCACCTCACTCGCCGGAAGCACCCATCTCCCCATGAAGTGCCTGGAGCCGGATCTCATCTGTGGACAAAGTGTCCCATGCTCTCTGAACAAAGGGCCTGTGTATCAGTTTTCCTTAAGGAGCCGAGCAGCAGGCTCCGGGGAAGGGCCCGCCAGGATGCATGTGGCTGAGGCTGTGGGGGCCCTACCTTGCCTCCCCACTCCAACTATGCAGTGGCAGAGCCTGTCCAGGCTGGCTCAGGAGACGCCAGACCTCCAGGCCGCTGGCTGGCTGCTCAGCTGCTGCAGACACAGCGGAGTGCAGGCCCCAGCACAGCAGGGTGTGGCCCCAAGCCCCAGACCCCAAACAGAGGAAACTGACCTCTGCACCCTCTTCCCCCAAGCCAGCGCCAGTGCATGCTGCACGGGGTGTCGGGGCTGTTCTGGGGGCCCTGTGGCACCCAAGAGGGGCTTCTCAGACCTGACAATGCTCCAGAAGTCATGGAGCCCCAGAGGCGGCCAGGCCAAGCTCTCCTCTCCACCGCCTCCACTTCCCATCTTCTCCGCAGTGTGGCTGCCACCACAGCCAGCCCTGTGGCTCTGCTCAGAAACCTCCTCGGGTCCCCACTGTGGGCCAAAAGCACAGCACTGAAAGTGGTCGCTTGCCCCGCACACACCTCACACTCCTGCCTCCTGAGCTGCACACCCCCTGACCACTGTTCTCCTCCCATTGCTCAACCTGCTAAGAACCCACACATGCCAGGCACTGTTCTAAAAGTCAGATGTCTGCAGCAGACAAAAACCCCTCTCCTCTGAGAGCTTATATTTGAGAGGAGGGAGACCAGCAAATAAATCAATGTGAAATATATACAGTACACTGGGAGCAGTGATGCACACCCCTAATTCTAGAACTCTGGGAGGCTGAAGCAGGAGGATCACAAATTCAAGCCCAGCCTGGGCAACTCAGCAACTTAGTGAGACCCTGCCTTGAAATAAAATATGTGAGATATACTCCCAGTATGGAAAAAAAAAAATCACAGTATACCAGATAAAAGCTACAGAGAGAAACAATGTAGGAAAGGGGACTAACGAATGCTAAGGGGTGGGGGGTATGGAAGGTCTCACCAAAAGGAGGTATCTGAGCAACATCCTGTAGGAGGGAGGGAACTAACTCTGCAGAGAAAACTGGGAAAAGAGTACTTCGGGTAGAATGAGCCACAAGTGCAAAGGTCCTGTGGCAGGAGTGTGCAGGAGTGATCTAGGAAAGCCAGGCAGGCTAGCGGGAGTGTAGATGGGGACAAAGAGGTACAGGGAGGTCATTTAGGCCTTATGGGCCATTGTAAGGATGCTGGCTCTTACTGTGATTGAGATGGGAACCTGGACTACTAACAATCTCACTAGGGCTCCAACAGACCATTCTGGCTGCTGTAAGGGGCTGGGGAGGAGAGAGACCAGAGAGGAAACTACTGCAACCACCATAGCCAGAGACCACAGCAGCTTAGGCCACAGCTCCAGCAGTGGGCGTAGGGGGAAGTGGTCGGGACAGCAGGTCTTGCTGAGGCCAACAGCACAGGCTACGGCAGGCGGAGAGCAGAGGCGGGGAGTATTCGGATGATTCAGGCCCGAACAACCAGAGGGAGGTGGCTGTCTTACATGGTACAGTGACTCGAGCAGCAGGTGGCAGCCTCAGGTACGATGGAAATCCCAACCAGCTTTGACCCCAGCAAAGAAACAGCCTGTACCCTAGAAAGTCCTGGGGGCAGCTGAAAGCCCTCGCACCTGCTCATGCACACGTGGCACACACAGCCCTTCTCTGCACCAGGCACCTCTGTGTCCGTGTGTTATTGCCCTGAGCAGCCTGGGGCTGATCCCCTTCACATCATCGGAAAGCACTGCACACAGTGAGCCAAACGGCACCCATGATGTTTCTGTGGTCTAACAATTCAAGAATGCTCTTTCAAAACACCCAGAAATATGCTAGGAGGGCAGTTATTACCTTGCCAGTCCTTACGTCCCAAGCCTTGATTTCAGAGCTGAAACCTCCACATAAGAAAATGTTGTGGTCTTTCGGGTAAAATTTCAAGGTAGTGATTCTGAAGTCACTTCGACCGCTGAACAGCTGGGTTCCTACAACACCAACAGAGAAGAGAGTTAGAAAATATGCAGATCACGAAATAAATACCAGAGAATTAAGACGCACCTGATAAGGAGCCCAGGGGCACACAGCACTCCCCAGTCTGGGGGAGACTTCGGGACATCTCCTCGCTTCCCCCAGGGCTATTCTGCAGCCTGGATCATGTTTGCCACGAGCGTATGGTGCTAGCTCACTCAAGCCACATGGAGACCCTCAGCCCACATTCCAGCCTAGGCGAGGAGTCTGGGGTGCTCGGTAACATTCTGGAGGCTGCAGTCCACTCGAAGGCTGCTCTAGGAGTGGCCCTCAGAATCACCCATCTCGAGCCGCACCGTTACAGTAACAGGCACATGCTGCACTACGAGGGCACAGCAGGGGCAGCTGCCGTGCTGGGGGACAGTGAGTGGCCCTCACAGCAGCTGGAGCCACAGAAGGACACCAGGTGTGGGCCACCAGGGGCCTCACTCAGCTCCCTGAGATAAGACAGCAGCCCTGGTCCTTTGCGTGTCTGTCACAAGCTGTTGTCAAGAGCTTGAGGCGTTGTGGTGCTTGTGAGCCTGGACACACACAGAGCGTGAGCAGGATCAGCCTCAGAAAGGTCATGATCACCAGGGCTGCCACAGCCCAGCAGGGAAAACCTGGATGGCCACTGGCCTCCGGGCTCTTCCACGGACAGGGCAGTGGCAGCCTGGGGACACAAGAAGCCGGGCCACGAAGGAGATGGATGAGATGCCCAGACTTCCAGATCATGTCCCTCCGGGGCCCCAGGAAGCAGTGTTTGTGCAGTGGATGCCCCAAAGTTTACCCCACCTTATGTGCTGTGACCCACACACAATGAGTACAGGTCTGGCAGCTCCCAGGAAAGGAAATGAAAGTCACCAATCAGTGCCCACGAGAGTCACAGAGGCGACCTCACAGATCCGGTCTTCCTGAGGCCCCACCAGGCAAACCCTCCACACAGATCACCACACAGGGCCACCGGCCTGTGAGTCACAGAATGTGCACACTGAAAAAGTACAACTGAAGGCAAGAATAAAATAACAAGTATTTTAAAATATATTTCCGCGTGCTGTTTACAAGCCCAGCACTGAGTATCAACTGGCTTCTCTGAAACCATTAAAATGAAGAGCTATGATAGTTTCAGTGAGAGCAACAGAGCTGAGTATACTTTCGTTGATTTCAACTTTTGGTAACTCGAGAATTTGAAAGTAGTCTGGTGCCAGCCTCAGTTTTTCCACTGAACCATGTCAAGGCTGACAGGGATTCCTCCCGGGACATGTGGACCGGGAATTAAGATGCTCCCCACGGCCCCGGGGGTTCATTTCCACCTCTACCCGCCCAGGGGTGAGGCTTTTGAGAATATTTTACTAGTGAAGCTCTTTTCCCCGTAATGTGACATTATGGCTTCTGACATCAATCAGAAGGTATCATTGTTTCATCTCCTGTTTTTAAGAACCCAGCTCAAAATCCACAGCAATTTTCATAAAAGGATTTTTAAAAGCTTCAAAAAACACTGATCCCAAATTAAGGGCATAGGTATTTGTGATAGATTTTTAACAAGTGACACTCTTCACGTCATTTTTTGGCAACAACAACAAAAGAAATCACAAACAATAGAAATGGTTACAATGATCTGTTTTCTGTGGGCTGAGGTGCAGCTCTGTGGGGGGAGATGTGCTTGGCATGCCCGAGGTCCGGGTCCCATCCCCAGCACCAAAAGAAACCAATCTGCTTTCAAGATGTTCTCTCCATAGTACACGCTTTTTGGAAAACAGTTACTCTCCCCCTTTGTTAAAGTGTCACTTTTACCTTGATGGATGATTAAGTGTGTTCGTTTTTTTTTTTTCTAATATCATCTATAGACCTACAATTGGCAATCACCTTTCATCAGAGCAAACTTTGGAAATAGTTGACTTTTTTTGTAAATGAAAAATCTCTACCTCTTTAAATTGCACAAGGCTCTCAACTATTTTGCTTTAAGATGTAGGTAGCAAAAATAAATAAATAAATAAAAGATGTAGGTAGCATAAAAGGTGGCCACAGGCGTCCTACATAGGTACCAGATCACTCCAGGTCACAGAGTCCAAGGTGGCAGAGGCTGCCACGCCGAGGAGTGGGTACATCAAACTTGGCTCTCTGCCTGCTGGGACATTACAAAGAGATTTAAAGCGGAGTCCCGGGCAGGGTCTGCAGAGGCACTGGGCTTGAACTGGGGAAGTATTAAACAGGACTCCATGTGCACAAAGATCGGACTCACACATGCCCATCCAAACCCCGGCAGATCTTAGGACACTCAACGAAGCCAAATGCCGGGGCCTTGGGGAGGCTGTGGGTGGTGACCATGACATCCACCCCGTGGAGAAGGAGGGTGCATTGCTGTTGCACCCCATGGCACCAAAGGGACCCAGGAGGGCCAGAAGCATTTCCTCCCAAGGAGACAACCACACCCATTGCTGCTGATGCTCAGCAGCCAGCTCCCTGCTCACTGGAATCCACTGCCAACCCTCAGACCCAGAAGGAAAGACAAACTCGATCCATCCTTGTTTCTTGGACCGGAGCATATAACCATATGCTTACCTTCAGAAACAGCAGTGAATTCTCATGTTTTTTCAGAAAGTGGAATGATACAACCTTGCCAAAAAGGGGGAAGAAGACGAGAGGAAAAGCTGGGTTGATAAAAGATCATGATTGGAATTCTCCTGTTTAAAAGAAAATTGTATTTCTGAATGTTATGTTTCCCCAACTCCCAAAGAGACTGAGAATCTGTCTTTTAAGTACAAAAATTTTCCATTTAGAAGACAAGCTGTAGTATTTTTTTCCTACTTTTAATAATTAGGTCTTTACTATTTTTCTGTGCTAACAGAACACAAAAACAAAAGATTTTTACATGTTTTAATAAGCTGCCGGGTCATCTCATGTGAAACACCAGGGCCAATTTCAGCTAACTAAAGAGGCCTCGAACAGGACCCCAGTTCAGAAATCATAAGCACAGCCCTCCTCGCCTGACACCGCCTTTGAAGCAGGGGTGCAGCTAAGGAGTGAGAGCCACACAGCCCAGACCTGTCGCTTCCAGTGGAGGTACCTCGGGCCAGCCCTTTCCCACTGCAGCACACGCTGTTGACGTTGGAAGCTAAGTGGCACCTAAAGCATTCTATGGAGCAAGCAATAAAGGGGAGCTGTTAAGAGTTTGAAAAATTAAACCCCAACTTATTGAATTCATTCTTGGTTAAATTAAAAGCTAAAACCAAAGCATAGTGGTTTTTAACAGCAGGAACCCTAAGGGACGAATGATCGCTGGACTCCCACTGGAGGCTCTGGGGACAGGGTGTCCCAGCCGGCAGGCTGGACGGGCAGCCTCTGCAGTTGCAGAAGATCCAAATGTTCTTGCGGCAGAATGCTTGACTGCAAGTACCAGCCACGCTGGAGGCAAAGGTCTTTCCCGAGAGCTGATCTCGCCATCTCCCCCTCCACACACCCACAGCTCAGTATCATCCCTCTCCTGGGCCAGGCTTCTTGAAGCAGTGGTGAGCTGTTACAGAGCCTCTAACCTTGCCACTGTCTGGCTTGTTTGTCTGTTAGCTATAGGAAATTCTGTTTATTTGCTGTATGCTTATTATAGGAAATTGAGCTTAAAAACATTTCATTCTTTGGAACTGGCTCTATTGGTCTCATTATAATGAGCTCAACCAATATAAAAACCATTTGGCTCTTCTTGGAGTTAAGAAAAATTACATCTTTTCCTCCTTGAATCAATAATGATACAAGTACAAAATACATTATTAGATAAGGGGTGTGGCTCCGTGGTAGAGCACTTGCATAGCATGTGTGAAGCCCTGAGTTCAATCCCCAGCCCCACAATAAATAAAGTGCCACAAAAATGTGTTTAAAATGCAATGCAGAAATTCAATGTGTTCCCTTGAGACCCTCATTCCTGCCATTGCTTCCCATCTCCAGGCCCTTATCCCTTCTTCCTCTGGTGGAGGCCCCAAGTCAGATGGGGCAGCACCATCTGCCCTGGGCGACCTTAGGGTCACCAGGGCCCCAGGATCTGAGCCCCTCCTCTTCCGCTCACCCTGCATGGTCCTGGCCCAGGTCCTACCGAGGAACCGGTAATCTGGGTCAATCTAAACCCAAGTGCAGGTCCCCAGGAGAGAGGGGACATTCGTGTCCTGCTCACCTTGGCCAATGACTCATAGTTCCTGTCTGCCACTTCCGTGTGTCACCCTGGAGCCCCAGGGTAGAGGACAGGAACCCTCACAGCTGGGGAATCGGAAGCCGAGACAGACCCACGCACCCCAACAGAGCCCCTCTGCGCACACCCGCCGGTTAGGCATGACCTTTCCCTCTCCTCAGCTCTCTGTGCACATCCAGAGCCTCACAAACATGGAGAGAAAATGTTGACAAGGGAAAGCCTATGTTGCCGGCTCAAGGTAATTGAGCCTGTGTTCCCAGGCAGTAGGCATATGACTCATTTCACTAAAATCAATATCATTACACTCATCCTCTGGGAAGTATTCAGCCAGCTGTAAATTTAACCATCCTGACTCAAAGTTAACAAGAAAAAAAATGCTTACTAACTTCCACATCAAACTCGGCGCATGAGAAACCAGGGCCGTCTTGGCAGGTGTTCAGGGGCCCGGAAGGTGTGGGCTGGGGCCAAGCCTTGAGCCGCCCCAGAGCCCAGGATCTGCACTGCAGTCAGGAGCAGCAGCGCCCTCAGAGTGGCTGTGAGAATGAGAAACAAAGCACAAGAGGGGAAACCCAAGCCAGACCAGAGGGCAGGCACGGCAAGCAGAGGCCGGCGCAACAATCACAGGAGAACGGAGGTCAGGTCATGCCTAAGGTGGCGGCCCCATCCGGCAGCACTTAATGCTTTTCCCATCCCCTTCCCTCCCTGCTGCTCCCGCCTCCTTCCATCTCTCAGTCCCTTCCCTGTCTCCCTTTTTCCTATTCAGGGTCTTTTACACCGACTTCACCCTCTGCTTTTCATTAT